CCAGACGCGGAGCCCTCAACACCTGGCCTCACTTCTCCGGTCTCCGAGCCGCCAGCATCACCAGACGCCGCGCCTACTGCACCCCAGACGTCGCGCCCTACGACCCCTCTGCTCACCGAACCACCGCACCCACTGATTGCGTGCCGCCGCACCCACGGACACCAACCTACTTCACCCGCAGACTACTACCAACCAGCTGCTATCCTTGCTGCCCTCCACTCTCCCTCTCCCCTCACAGAAGAACTCAATAGTCTCCTCCACAGCGCTACAGACGCTCTGCTTCACCATCCCGGACCTGCACCCCCTCACCTCCCACGGCGTTTCGGACACTCTGCTTTGCCATCTGTGACCAGCACCCCTTCACCCCCCTGACCTTTCCAGCACCCCGCTCTTCCAGCACCCCGCTCACCCCAACATGCCGCCCGCGCTCCTCCTCCTCGTCGTCCTCTCCTCCCTCCATCCCTAAAACCGCCTCCCTCTACCCGCCCACCCCCACTAAGCAGCTCTATATTGCCCCCTCGCTTCTCCCCTCTCCCCATTACGGCACCCACCACCTCCTCCTGCTACTCCACTTCCCCGCTGACACACTTGCCACCACTTCCAGACCCACACGCTCCTACACCTCCCGTTCCCATGCCACCTTCCTCACCCTCCTCCTTCTCATATCAGCTGGGGACATCTCCCCAAACCCTGGCCCCTCACCACCTCACCCCCCCTAGAGCCCCCCCTGCTCATGCCAGCCGACGCAACCCCCTCAACCTCATACATGTACCCCTCCTCCCCATACCTATCCCTCCTCTCTCGGTTGCACTCCTGAATGCCCGTTCGGTTTGCAACAAGCTTACCGCCATCCATGACCTCTTCATCTCCCGCTCCCTAAACCTCCTAGCAGTCACCGAAACCTGGGTACAGGCCACCGACTCCACTTCCCCTGCGGCACTCACCCATGGAGGTCTCATCTGGACCCATTCGCCAAGACTGAGCGATCGCAGAGGTGGTGGTGTCGGCTTGCTCCTTTCACCGCTGAGCACCTTCCAGGTCCTCCCTAACCCATCCTCTCTATCCTTCCCCTCCTTTTGAGGCGCACTGCATCCGACTCTTCTCAACCACCCCCCTAAGGATCGCAGTGATCTACAGACCTCCTGGGTCCATACCCCATTTCCTGGACAACTTTGCCGCCTGGCTCCCCTTCTTCCTCTCCTCTGAGCTACCGACCATCATCCTCGGGGACTTCAATATCCCATCAACGACAACAAACCGGCCTACTTTGTTAACCTAATCAACACCCTCTCCTCCTGCCCTCGCCGACTCTTCTCCACCTTCAACTCCCTGCTCTCTCCCCCCCCCCTCCCCCACTCAGTAGCTCACTCTCCGCCCACGAGATTGCCACCCATTTCCGTAACAAGATTGACGCTATCCGTAAGGACATTGTCAACTCGCAATCTACCTCCCCACCTAGCCTCCCCACCCCCGTCACCCACTTTCTTCTCCCCCCTCCTCTGCCCTCACAACCGCACTGCCCTCCACCTCTCCCAAGGCCCCGCCCACCATAACCCCCCCTGCACTGCACTTCCTCAGCCCTGTCACTACTGAGGAAGTCGTCAAGGTCCTCTCAGAAGCCTGCCTCACTACCTGCCCCCTGGACCCTATCCCCTCTCAACTCCTCCGGGTCACCCCCCTCTTCCCTCATCTGCTCCCTCACCCACATCTTCAATCTTTCCTCTCTACTGGCGCATTCCCCTCCCCCCTAAAGCACGCACATATCATCCCCATCCTCAAAAAGCCCTCCCTGGATCCCGCGGACCCCAACAACCTCAGACCCATCTCCCTGCTGCCACTCACCTCCAAGCTCCTTGAGCGCATAGTCTATGATCACCTAAGCGCCCACCTTATTGACAATAACCTCCTTAACCCATTACAGTCCGGCTTCCGTCCCCTTACACTCCACCGAAACTGCCCTCCTCAAAATCACCAACGACCTACTAAACGCCAAGCCAAGGGCGACTACTCTGTCGTCCTTTTTCTCCTGGACCTCTCTGCGGCCTTCGACACATTCGACCACCCCCCTCCTCCTTAATAAACTACTCTCCCTTGGCATCAGAGATACCGCTCTCTCCCTGGTTCTCATCCTACCTATCCCGACGCTCCTTCAGCGTCACCTACAATGGTGCCACCTCCCCCTCCCTCCCCCTCTCTGTTGGGGTCCCCCAAGGCTCTGTCCTTGGACCCCTTCTCTTCTCCATCTACACCTCCTCCCTGGGCACACTCATACACTCCCATGGCTTCAATTTTCAACTCTATGCTGATGACACCCAAATTTACCTCTCCACCCCTCTCCTCACCCCCACTATCTCCGCCCGCATCACTCACCTCCTAAACGACATCTCAGACTGGATGTCGCTCCATTTCCTCAAGCTTAACCTCTCCAAAACTGAACTCCTCGTCTTTCCCCCTGCCCACACCCCCCCCCCCCCCCATCCTATCCATCACCACCACCAACACCACTATCATTCCCGCCCCGCAAGCCAAAGTCCTTGGCATCATTCTTGACTCGAACCTCTCCTTCCTCCCTCATGTCAAATCACTTGCAAACACCTGCAGGCTCCATCTCCACAATATTGCCAAGATACCTTCCTCACCCCAGACACCACCAAACTTCTTGTACACTCCCTCATCATCTCTCACGCCTTGACTACTGCAACTCTCTTCTCACTGGCCTACCCAAGTGCAGGCTCTCCCCGCTCCAGACCATCCTGAACTCAGCGGCCAGACTCATCCACCTCACCACCCGCTCTCCACCTCTGCCACCCCCCTCTGCCGCTCCCTCCACTGGCTCCCGATTGCCCAACGCATCAAATTTAAACTTCTAATCCTGACCTACAAAGCCGTTCATGACACTGCCCCTGACTACCTCACCAATCTGATCCCCAAGTACCACCCTACCCATACCCTTCGCTCCTCACAACCTCCGTACTCCTCTCCTGTACATACCCATCACTGTCATACCTCCGTACTCCTCTCCTGTACATACCTATCACTGTCATACCTCCGTACTCCTCTCCTGTACATACCCATCACTGTCATACCTCCGTACTCCTCTCCTGTACATACCCATCATCACTGTACATACCTCACTGTACCTCCGTACTCCTCTCCTGTACATACCCATCACTGTCATACCTCCGTACTCCTCTCCTGTACATACCCATCACTGTCATACCCCCCCACACTCCTCTCCTGTACATACCGATCACTGTCATACCTCCACACTCCTCTCCTGTACATACCCATCACTGTCATACCTCCACACTCCTCTCCTGTACATACCCATCACTGTCATACCTCCGTACTCCTCTCCTGTACATACCCATCACTGTCATACCTCCGTACTCCTCTCCTGTACATACCTCACTGTCATACCTCCACACTCCTCTCCTGTACATACCCATCACTGTCATACCTCCGTACTCCTCTCTCTGTACATACCCATCACTGTCATACCTCCGTACTCCTCTCCTGTACATACCCATCACTGTCATACCTCCGTACTCCTCTCCTGTACATACCCATCACTGTCATACCTCCGTACTCCTCTCCTGTACATACAGCATCACTGTCATCACTGTCATACCCCCATACTCCTCTCCTGTACATACCCATCACTGTCATACCTCCTCCGTACTCCTCTCCTGTACGTACCCATCACTGTCATACCTCCGTACTCCTCTCCTGTACATACCCATCACTGTCATACCTCCGTACTCCTCTCCTGTACATACCCATCACTGTCATACCTCCGTACTCCTCTCCTGTACATACCCATCACTGTCATACCTCCGTACTCCTCTCCTGTACATACCCATCACTGTCATACCTCCACACTCCTCTCCTGTACATACCCATCACTGTCATACCTCCGTACTCCTCTCCTGTACTACCCCATCACTGTCATACCCACCTGTCCTCTCCTGTACATACCCATCACTGTCATACCTCCGTACTCCTCTCCTGTACATACCCATCACTGTCATACCTCCGTACATCTCTCCTGTACATACCCATCACTGTCATACCTCCGTACACCTCTCCTGTACATACCCATCACTGTCATACCTCCGTACTCCTCTCCTGTACATACCCATCACTGTCATACCTCCTCCCACTCCTCTCCTGTACGTACCGATCACTGTCATACCTCCGTACTCCTCTCCTGTACGTACCCATCACTGTCATACCTCCGTACACTCCTCTCCTGTACATACCCATCACTGTCATACCTCCGTACTCCTCTCCTGTACGTACCCATCACTGTCATACCCCGTACTCCTCTCCTGTACGTACCCATCACTGTCATACCCACTCCTCTCCTGTACGTACCCATCACTGTCATACCTCCCACACTCCTCTCCTGTACGTACCCATCACTGTCATACCCCCCACACTCCTCTCCTGTACGTACCCATCACTGTCATACCCCCCACACTCCTCTCCTCTCCTGTACGTACCCATCACTGTCATACCCCCCACACTCCTCTCCTGTACGTACCCATCACTGTCATACCCTCCTCTCCACTCCTCTCCTGTACATACGACCCATCACTGTCATACCTCCACACTCCTCTCCTGTACATACCGATCACTGTCATACCTCCACACTCCTCTCCTGTACATACTCCTCCTGTACATACCTCACTGTCATACCTCCACTCCTCTCCTGTACCATACCGATCACTGTCATACCCCCCATACCCCTCTCTCTCCTGTACATACTACCCACCATCGTATCATCTGCAACTCCTCTCTTACTCTTACATTTACTACCTGCAGTTATGCTCTTCTTCTTAAATTGGGGAATAACTCGATGACTTACATACTTTTTTCAGACCTTGTGAAATATTCTTGGCTGTTTTTAAAATAATACACTTTAATTTGTATTTCATGATAAATCCTGCCTCATCTCTGCCTCTCTACCTGCAGCCTAACAATGAGGCGTGCATGCAGCCACTGATCTATTTCTGGCTTTTGTCTCTCAGACATTCTAATGTTCATTTCTCCAAACGTCCTCCAGGACAGCCTTCCTGAGACAGAGCTCCTCCCTCTGGGACAGGAAACACGTAAGCACAGTACTATAAAAGGCGGACCACCAGGCCTCCCTCCTGAGTTTTTAGTGTTTCTCTGCGGAAGGATGGGTGCAGTCATCAAGGAACTGATTGTCTGGAAGTCCTGGGCCCTAGAGGTTGCTGGTGGATCTCCTGGTCTGGCTTACTTCCTCCTGCCCGACGCGATCCCTTCAGGGGAAGTGGGGCTGCTGCTCCTGATATCTTTCCATGCCTCAGTGGATGATAACCATCATCGGGGGTGTCCTGAGGGGTCCAGGACCTTTGATGCCTGTCGTTCCTCCTTCCCGTCCCGTGCGGGGGGGGGGGGGGCTCCAGCATCCGATGCACAATGGGGCAGAGTGACTGCCAAGCAGGCGTGCAAGTAGCCCGCAACTTCTGGGTGCTGTTCCAGGAACCGGAAGTTCCGGCTGCGGTGACGTCATCGACGGCGCCCGGAGACTCGTGGTTCCAGTCTCCATATTAGCACAGGCCTCTGGTCAGGCAACCAGTCTGGTGTACAGACCCAGCAGAGCCTTTGGCTCCACACCAAGAGGGATGGATGGAAGGCGCTGGCACTTCTCAGGCAGACCCTGGTCCTTCAGGCACTGGCTCCTCTAAGGTAAGCTTGGGGACTCTGATCCCTCTTGCTGACCCTGGTGGGCACACTTCCTTTTCTTGCTCCCCCCAGCACAGTGGTTTTTGTATGAGGGGCCCTGGGCTGATTATTTTCTGTATTGTGTCTTTTTTGCTCATTGTAGGTTAAAGTCCAGGACAAGGTGCAGAGTCAGACCCCCAAGAAGAAGTGTGCAGTTTGTGCAGCTAAATTGGGTTCAGCTTGGGAAAAACCCTTATGCTGCAATTGTGTGGCTAGCCTAATTAAGGATAAGTCATTTACAGCCTGCCATAAAGTGCTCACCTCCATTAAGGATGACATGTTGTCTACATTTCAATCCTTTTATTATTATTATTATTATTATTATTATTATTATACAGTATTTATAAAGCGCCAACAGTTCGCTCAGTGCTGTACATTACAATGGGAAACAATACATGAGACAGTACAATAACAATACAATGTGATACACGAGGGGTTCGAGGGCCCTGCTCCTTGGAGCTTTCAATCTAGGAGGGAGGGGATAGTAGTATGGGAGGAAAAGCTGTGGGGGATGGAGTGGTAGGAGGAGTGGAGGAGATCAGCAGTTAGCAGAGGGTGGGGTAGGCTTCCCTGAAGAGGTGGGTTTTTAGGGTGCGCCTAAAGGAGAGGAGAGTGGGTGATAGTCTGATGGATTGGGGTAGGGAGTTCCAGAGGATGGGTGATGCCCTGGAGAAGTCCTGGAGGCGAGCATGGGAGGAGGAGATCAGGGAACTAGAGAGAAGGAGGTCTTGTGAGGAGCGAAACATATCTTTTGGGTGGTAGATGGATATTAGGTCGGTGATGTAGTTTTGGGGCAGAATTATGGACAGCTTTGTATGTCAGTGTTAGCATTTTGAATTTGATCCGTTGGGCAATCGGAAGCCAGTGGAGGGATTGGCAGAGGGGGGTGGAGGACACTGAGTGGAGGCCAGTGGAGGGATTGGCAGGGGGGGTGGCGGAAAACAGAGCGGTTGGTAAGTGATGTGTCTGGCCGCCGTATTCAGGATGGACTGAAGTGGGGATAGCCTGTGGCGAGGCAGGCCAGTGAGGAGGGAGTTGCAGTAGTCGAGTCGTGATATGATGATGAGGGAGTGGATGAGCTGTTTAGTGGTTTCTGGGGTTAGGAACGTGCGGATTTTGGCGATGTTGCGGAGGTGGAGTCTGCATGAGTTTGTTAGCGATTGGACTTGGGGCTGGAAGAATAGATTGGAGTCTAGTATGACACCAAGTACTCTGGCTTGCGAGGGGCCTGATGGTGGCATGGTTGGACGTGATGGAAAAGTCAGTGGGGGGGGGGGGTGTGGCGGGGGGGGGAAGACTAGGAGCTCGGTTTTGGAGAGGTTCAGTTTAAGGAAGTGGAGTGACATCCAATCTGATATGTCGTTCAGTAGGCTGGTGATTCGGGCGGAGACTGAAGGGGTGAGGCGCGAGGGGTCGAGAGATAGATTTGCGTGTCGTCTGCATAGAGGTGGTAGTTGACAGCCGTGGGAGTGTATCAGTTGGCCAAGGGAAGGGGTGGAGATGGAGAAGAGATGGGGCCCGAGGACAGAGCCTTGGGACCCCAACAGAGAGGGGGAGTGGGGGGGAGGTGGTAGTGTATCCTTTAGATCCCTATTGGAAAAATGCAGTCGCCACTGGGTTCTTTGACCCAATCGGTGGGTTGTAGGTAGCAGATGCATTAAGAGGAGAGGAGGACCCGGAGGAGTATCCTAGGTCTCTTGCTTCCTCACGGGTAGATTCAGGCTCATAAGAGGAGGATGGTGAAGTTTGCTCCTCCAGAGGTTCCAGGAACAAATTGCCCCTGGAAGATGTGGACAACCTCCTTAAAGTTATCTACGAAACCTTAGAGATCGAGGAGGAGGATGTTTGCCTATCTAAGCATAACCTCATGTATCAAGGTTTGCATGCTACAAAGACTAGTGTCTTTCCAGTCCACAGTTCCCTGGTTGATACCATTAAGCAGGAATGGGAAAGCCCTGAGAGGAAACCCTTTTTCTCTTAGCGAGGGGGACAGAACATGAGACAATACACGAGGGTTTCGAGGGCCCTGCTCTTTCGAGCTTACAATCTAGGAGGGAGGGGATAGTGGTACAGGAGGAAGTGGCTGTGGGGAATGGAGTGGTAGGAGGAGTGGAGGAGATCGGTTGTTAGGTGAAGGTGGGTTAGGCTTCCCTGAAGAGATGGGTTTTCAGGATGCACCTGAAGGTGAGGAGAGTAGGTGACAGTCTAATGGATTGGGGTAGGGAGTTTCCAGAGGATGAGGAAGTCCTGGAGAACTCCTGCTGTTGGGCGTGGGCGGAGGAGACCAGGGAGCTGGAGAGTAGGAGGTCCTGTGAGGAGTGAAGGGCATGGGTAGGGTGGTATTTGGGTATCAGGTCGGTTAGGTAGTTTGGGGCGGTGTTGTGAATGGCTTTGTAGGTTAGGGTTAGCAGTTTGAATTTGATGCGTTGGGCAATCGGGAGCCAGTGAAGGGATTGGCAGAGGGGGGAGGCAGATGTGGAGCGGTTGGTGAGGTGGATAAGTCTCGCCGCTGAGTTCAGGATAGACTGGAGTGGGGATAGCGTTTGTTTGGGTAGGCCAGTGAGGAGGGAGTTGCAGTAGTCCAGGCGTGAGATGATGAGGGAGTGTACGAGTTGTTTAGTTGTGTCTGGGGTGAGGAACGTACGTATCTTGGAGATGTTGTGGAGGTGGAGCCTGCATGACTTTGATAGTGATTGGACATGAGGTTGGAAGGAAAGGTTTGAGTGCAGGGTGACACCCAGGACTTTGGTGTGTGGGGTGGGATTGATGGTGGCGTTGCTAGTCGTGATGGAGAGGATGGGGGGGGGGCGTGGGCTGGGGGGGAAACTAGGAGCTCGGTTTTGGAAAGGTTTAACTTGAGGAAGTGGAGCGACATCCAGTCTATGTCATGGTGGGCGATGCGGGCGGAGAGAGAGGGGGTGAGGTGAGGGGTGGAGAGGTAAATTTGTGTGTCGTCAGCATAGAGGTGATAGTTGAAGCCGTGGGAGTGTATCAGTTGGCCAAGGGAGGAGGTGTAGATGGAGAAGAGAAGGGGCCCAAGGACAGAGCCTTGGGGGACTCCAACAGAGAGGGGGAGAGAGGGGGAGGTGGTAGTGTTATAGGTAATGCTGAAGGAGCGTTGGGATAGGTAGGAGGAGAGCCAGGAGAGAGCAGAGTCCCTGATGCCAAAGGAGTGCAGTTTAGTAAGAAGGAGGGGTTGGTCGACAGTGTCGAAGGCCACGGAGAAGTCGAGGAGTAGGAGGACAGAATAGTGGCCATTAGCTTTGGCGGTTAGCAGGTCGTTAGTGATTTTAAATAGGGCAGTTTCGGTGGGGTGTAGGGGACGGAAGCCAGACTGTAGTAGATCAAGGAGGTTGTTATCAGTGAGGTGGGCGCTTAGGCGATTGTAGGCTAAGTGCTCAAGGAGCTTGGAAGTGAATGGCAGCAGGGAGATAGGTCTAAGGTTGTTTAGGTCAGTGGGGTCAAGGGAGGGTTTTTTTGAGTATGGTGGTGATGTGTGCGTGCTTTAGGGGGGAGGGGAATGCGCCAGTAGAGAGGGAGAGATTTAAGATGTGCGTGAGGGAGCGAATGATGGAGGAGGGGGGTGACTGGAGGAGTTGTGAGGGGATAGGGTCCAGGGGGCAAGTGGTGAGGCGGGCTTCAGTGAAGACCTTAGTGACCTCCTCAGTAGTAGCAGGGTTGAAGTAGCGGAGTATTGGGGAGGTTATAGTGTGCGGGGTGTTAGGTATGGTGGGGGGCAGTGCGGTTGCGAGGTCAGAGGAGGGGAGAGTTTAAGGGGGTGATGGAGGGAGGCTAGGTGGAGAGGTAAAATTGACAATGTCCTTACGGATTGTGTCAATCTTGTTTTGGAAATTATTGCCAAACTCGTGGGGCGGTGAGTGAGGTACTGAGTGGAGGTGGGGGGGGGG